TCATGTGGAGCTGACACAGGAAACCTCAGCCTGCCTGTAGCTGTGTCATTTACTGCTTTTGTTCTCACACCCCCCAAACTGTGGCTTTGTGAGGGGCTCATGACACGTTCTCTGCTCTTTTGTCACGATCTTCTCAAAAAATGGAGCGAGCTGGGCTGGTTCAGAGCACCCACAGTGCCCAGGGAGAGGGAAGGGGTGTGTTAATTGCATATCCCTTCAGCAACCTTTTGAGAGAGCCCTTGAGATCTCAAAGGTGCATCCATCAGGATATTTTTTTCTTTTTGTTTTTTGTTTCCCCCCATCCTCTGATAGCAATGGGGAGAGCTGGCCAGGGACAGCCAAAGTTCCTGGTTTCTATCAGAGGGGCTAACTGCCATCAGAGATGTCCTTGGGAAATAAGAAACCGCCAGTCAGAGTCACCAAGGGACAAGGACATGAGAAACCTCATGACCTCAGCCCGGATGTTCTGGGGAATCTGACAAGCCCATGGTGATGAGGAAGTCAGGAGTGCAGCTGGGGAGTCATTCTGTGAGCCCAGTCCAGACCAGCAGGTGCTCTGGGCAGGTGCAGGGCTGGCTGAGACACAGCTGGAGCTCAGCTGAGGACCAGGCTCAGGGTGTCCCCATGAGAAGGGAGCAGCCCTGCCTGGGCCCTCTCTGAGTCCTCCCTGGCAGCTCTGGGTCAGTGTTACAGCCTGGAAGGGACTCAGCCCCTGTTTCCATGACCCTCCTTTGGCCATGAGCCCAGCCAATGAAACCTCCAGGATCTGTGACTGTCCCGCTCTAGGCTATGTTTACATGTGTCCCCCCAGACCCCTGCTAGCAAGCCAGACAGTGCCATCCCAGGATTCCATCCCCTCTTGCGTTAAAGCCACTGTTTTTCTCTTTTGCGCACTCTCCCACTGCCCCTCTTTGAGCCGCGTGCATTCCGCGCTCCACCCGCGCTCTGCCGACACCCACGTGGGGCAGCTCTTGGCAGCCAGCACTGCTCTGCACCGCGAGAAAGAGGAACACCCACATGGGGATAAGTCCCTGATCTTGGCCTTATCACCGAGCGATGCAGGATAGTCCGGATAACCCAGTCCCTCTGGGAGACAGAGTGCCCCAATACCCAGTCAGCTCGCAGCCGCCGCAGGCTGCCCTTAGCAAGCTCAGTGATTGTCAGCTCTTTGGTGATTCTCAGCTCTCTTAGGATTTCAGCTCTTTGCTTGCTTGCTAGGGCGCCTTTGGCTGAGGCAGAAGCAGATGCGAGAGAGGAGAAGGAGAGGTCCTGGCAGTTCCACAGCGATGATTTACTGGCGAGTCTGCGAAGGGTTCCAGTGACAGCTCTTCTTCTGTTGAATGGGCTAAAACAGCCCCTTCTTATAGGGTATAGGGGGATCCAAACTTGTCCAATATGAAGGGTCAGGAGAAAGTGACCTATGAGGTTACAGAGATAAGCTATGGGCCAAGGGTAGAAAAAGACAGGAGCTTATTTTGCTGTCTCCTCATGATTCAGCAGTTCCTACAGTTAAGTCTAAGGCCTCCATGGAGCTCTCCTAAGATGCTTGGGGTCTGCTACAGTGTGGCATCAGCTGCCATGGGAGAGATCGCGGCCTTGGGCGCAGCTGTG